ATGCACATATGTTAATGAGGGATATTAGTCCAAGGTTTTCCTGTAGTATCTTCATCTGATTTTAGTGTCAAGATCATACTGGCTTTTCTTCAGTTTGTGTAGTTTGTGTAAAATTGATAATATTTCTTCCTTAAACATTTGATATAATTTACCAGTTAAGCCACCTAGGCCTGGAGTTTTCTTTGGGGAAAGTTTTAAAATTTTAAATTTAATGTCTTTAAAAGATATAGGAGTATTCAGATTTTAAATTTCTTTTTATGCTAGTTTTTGTCATTTATGCTTTTCAAAAGATTTGCTAATTTATTCTAAATTGTTGAGTTTATTGTCATTAAGTAATATATAATAACATATAATATTCTTTTATTATCCTTTTAATTTCCACAGGATCTATAGTGCTGTTGCATCATATCTCATATTGATAATTTGAAACTTTTCTCTTTTTTTCTTGATTGGTCTAGATAGGATTTCACAAGTCTCTTCAAAAAACCACCTTTGGTTTCATTGATTTTCTCTATTTTTAAAAGCAGCTTAAAACAACAAACATTTGTTATCTCACACAGCCACTGTGGGTCAAGAATCCAGGAGCAGTTTAGCTTGAGGTTTGGCTCAGGCTCTATTATAAGGCTCAGCAAAGACGCTGGTTGGGCTGAAGTCATCTGAAGGGTTGCCTGGTGCTGGAGGATCTGCTTCCAAACTCAGTCACATGACTTTTGTCAGGAGGTTTTGGCTCCTCACCACACGGGCCTCTTCACAACAGCATGACAGCTGGGTACCCCTAGAGTGAGCGATAAAAGCAGGGAGAGAGAGAAAAACCTCTTTATTCTTTTTCTCTTTTCTATTTCATTGATTTCTGCTCTTTATTATTTTTTTCCTTCTATCCACTTAGGGTTTAACTTAGTGGGGTTTTTTTTTTAGCTTCTTGAGTACGAAGTTTAGATTATTGATTTTAAACCTTGTGCTTTCTCATGTAAGCGTTTAAAGCCATATGTTTCCCTTTAAGCACTGCTGTAGCTGCACCCCATACATTTCGATGTGTTGTGTATTTGTTATCATTCCGTTAAAAATATTTTCATATTTTCTTTGTGATTTCTTCTTTGATCCATGACTTATTTGGAAGTGGTTTACATAATTTAAAAAAATATGGGGATCTTCCAGTCATATTTTTGTTATTCATTTCTAGTTTATTTCCATTGTCATCAGAAAATACACTCAATATGATTTCAATTCTTTAAAATGTATTTAGACTTCTTTTATGATCCAGCATAGGTCCATCTTGGTGAATGTTCCATCTGCACGTGAAAAGAATGTGTATTTTATCATGTTACATGTAGTGTTTAAAAAATATATCAATTAGGTCAAGTTATTTGAATTTTTCAGAACTTTTTATTATTGCTGAATTAAAAAAAAGTCTAGGGACCGGCTCCGTGGCCGAGTGGTTAAGTTCACGTGCTCCACTGCAGCGGCCCAGGGTTCGGATCCTGGGCGCGGACATGGCACAGCTCATCAGGCCTCGTGGAGGTGGCGTCCCATATCCCACAACTAGAGGGACCTGCAACTAAGATATACAACTGTGTACAGGGGGGGTTTGCGGAGGTAAAGCAGGAGAAAAAAAAGTCTACTTGTTCTATCAGTTACTGAGAGAGGACTGTTGAAATCTTTGTCTCCATGTAGGTTTGTTTGTTTTTCCAGTCTGTTCTATCAGTTTTTCTCCAAGTATTTTGAAGCTCTAAAATTAGATGCGTACACATTTAGGATTGCTTACGTCTTCATGAAGATTGACCCTTTTATCATGAGAAAATGTACCTCTTTCTCTCTGTTAATCTTTCTTGTCTTCATGTCTACTCTGTCTAAGTTAATATATTTTCTCCAGATTTTTTATGAATAGTGTTTGCACAGCATGTATTCTTCCATCCTTTCATTTTTAACATCTCTGTTTCAATATGTTTGAAGTGTATTTCTCATAGACAGTGTATAATTGGGTCTAGTTTTTAAAAAATATTATCTGATAATTTATGCTTTTTAATTGTAGTGCTTGGACCATTTAATATATTATCAATATGTTTGGATTTAAGTTTATCATCTTGTTGTTTGTTTTCTATTTGTCTCATATTTTCTTTTCTCCGTTTTCCTCTTTTTCTGACTCTTTTGGATTGAACAAGTTAGCATTCTATTTTATTTCCAATATTGGCTAATTCCTTTCCTGCTTGTTGGTCATTCTAGCATTTAAAACATGCATCTTTAAGCCATCATAGTCTACTTTCAAGTAATGTACTACCACTTTACAAGTAATGTAAAAACATTTAAGTTATATACTTCCATTTCTCCCCTCTCATCTTTTGTGCTATTGTTGTCATACATTTTACTTATACATGTATTATAAATCTCACAATACATCATTATTATTTTTGTTTAAACCATATGTTATCTTTTAAAGAAATTTAAAAATGAAAAAATATCTTTTATATTTGCTTGCATACTTACCATCTCTGGAGTTCTTTGTCCCTTTTGTAGATCTGAATTTCCATCTGTTATAATTATTCCTACAGCCCCAAGAGCTTCCTTTTACACTTATTGTTGTGTAGGTCTGCTGATTATAATCTCTCAGCCTGTGTTTGTCTGAAAATGTCTTCATTGTGCTTTTATTTTTTATTTTTAAAGATTTTATTTTTCCTTTTTCTCCTAAAGCCCCCTGGTACATAGTTGTGCTTTTTTTTTTTTTTTTCAGTTATGGGTCCTTCTAGTTGTGGCATGTGGCATGCCGCCTCAGCATAGCTTGATGAGTGGTGCCATGACTGCGCCCAGGATTCGAACTGGCAAAACCCTGGGCCGCCAAAGCAGAGCATGCAAACTTAACCACTTGGCTATTGGGTGGGCCCCTTTGCTTTTATTTTTGAACAATATTTTTGATGGACATAGAATTGTGGGTTTACTTTTTCTCTTCCTTTCAATACTTTTAAGACTGTCATTCAGTTGTCTTTTGGCTTACTTTGTTTCTGATGTGAAGTCAGTGATTTTCTTATTTGTTCTTCTGTGTCAAATGTGGTTTTTTTTCCTCAGGCTACTTTTAGTGTTTTTTCTCTATTTCTAGTTTTCAGCAATTTTAATATGATGTACTTTAATGTATTTTCTTTGTGTTTATACTGTGTGAGCTGTGTTGATATTTTTGGATCTGTAGGTTTATATTTTTCACCAAATTTATAAAAATTTTGTCCATTATTTTATATACCTTCTATTTCTATGTCTTCATGTTCACTGATCTTTTCATTTTTACTGTGTAATCTGCTGTTAATCTCATCAGTAAAATTTTCATTTAAGATAACGTGGTTTTCAGCTCCAGAAGTTCCATTTTGTTCTCTTTTATATCTTTAATTTATCTATTTCTTTTGTTTACATTTTCCTTTAAATCTTTGAACACATTTAATTATCACTTTTTAAAAATCTTTGCGAATTCTGTCATCTTTGTAATTTTGCATATTTTTCTATTGAGTTATTAGTTTTTCTGGCTACATGTCCCATTTTCTTGCTTATCAGGGCTAGTTATTTTTGATTGGATACTGGACATTGTGAATGTCACATTGTTAATTGGATTTTGGTATCTCATTTTAAAGATTGTTGGACTTTATTTTGGCAGTCAGTTAAGTTACTTGCAGATCAGCTCAATCCTTTTGAGGTTTGTTTTTAGTGTGGGTCTGCAGTGGCCTTACTTTAGCGTAGTTTAGCCCTAATACTTCTGGAGTGTCTTCTAAATGCCCTGCTTGTTCAATGAGATTTCTCCACCACAACTGGTTAGAACTTGGATGACTCCCAGCCCTGTATGAGTTCTGGGAATTGTTCGGCTTACAGCTCCTTGTTAGTTGTTCTTTCACTCATAGTTATTCTTTGCCTGGTTTCATGGTGTCTTACCACACATATGTGGAATTGGACATTCTGCCAAAGACTCAAAGGGCCACCTATGCAGATTTCTGGAGCTCTTTCTCTGTGTAACTCTCTCTTCTCTGGTACTTTCCATTGCAGATGCAAGCTGCCCTAGCCTCTCCAAACTCTAATATTATTTCTTCACTTCAGTGAGATCCTGTGATCTACTTGGGTTCCATTTTTATACATTCTAGTCTCCAGGTAGCTTTCTAGCTGGGGCATTTTTAGGGCTAATCTCATTTGTTTCCTTTCTTTCAGGGATCAAGTCCTGTTCAGTCTGCAGTTCACATTTGACAAGAGTTGTTTCATGTATTTTGTCTTTTTAAAAGGTAATTTATAGTAGGAAGGCAAATCTAGTTCCAGTTACTATATCATATACTGGAAGTAGAAGTTATGAAATTGAACTTTAAGGCAAAATTGAATAATCTTTTTCCATTACTTTTTGTAGGCATGTATAGTTTTATCTGATGATTGGTTAACCGAAAAAAATCCTCTTAGCTCAATTTTTAGAAATTGAGAATTTCCAATAAGAGAACTAGACTCTTAGAGGTGAATTCATTTGATGTGTTCTTTGCCCACTGGATAGGACTCCAAAATGATTTGGGAAGAAACTAGGCTTCAGTATCTTTTAACAAATATCAAAATATCCTTCACTTTCTCACTCACTCTGTTCTTGTCCATAGAAAATAAATTCAAAACAGCTGGAAGAGAGACATATCAGATCAGAAGGAATTGAGCTGCCTGGACAGCCAGTTACAGTGCACAAAATTACGTTGCATACCTTTTTGCAGAGCTACTAGTGTGGTATACAAAGAAAGGTCTCTTATTGCTATCTTGGCTAACATTGTGGTTTTATTTTCACATAGTTTGGAAGTTATGACTTAGGAAAAGCCCTGGTACCTGGCTGACAAACCAGTTTACATAAATGTGCTAACCATATACTGGCAGGTGGCCTGGTCTGCTTGCTGGCTTCTGAGAAATGATAAACACAGAGGCCTCACAGACAGATCACCACTATCTCCAGCCTCTGAAAGTTCTGGAATCAGAATCTGGAGCAAGTTCATTGCTCTCTATTTTTACTGGAACAGAACCAAAGAAACTGCCAAAGGCTCTTTCTCTGTCTAACACCCATTACACAATGCAACATTGTTTGTCAAGCTATTGAGTTCTTTATCTGGGTGAGCCTAGGAAGTTAAATATAGATATATACATTGTCTATATGTCTATGTAAATATATATATATTCTATAGTTGTATATATTATATTTAGAGTTTATATAATGTTTTAAAATGTAGATGAAGCTAGTGGAGGCTAGTTTCTCAATTCCTTCATCTGTAATATAAGAATAATATTAACTCCTACCACAAAGTGTAGAAGGATGGAATGAATTAATACATATAAGTAACTTAGTGCCTAGTAATTAGTGTCTTAGCTCAATATGTTTTACTACTGTTCTTATTATTATGTTTTATAGATGCTTCTTGGTTACCCCAAGACTCATTCTATAGAGTGTGCTATGAGCTTGGCCCTTCTCTGGCCTTGTTTTAGCATTTTTGTGGTATTTATCTCTACGCTCTAGTCAGCATATACTTTAAGAAACACATTTTGATGGTTAAGGTAACAGATCTGCCTGAGTGTTCATACCTGCCAAAACCAAGAATAGAACCGAGCTAAGAAAATTCAAGTTAAATTGTGGTCATTCGTAGATGGTGTGTGGAGAAGCAGACTTCTCACTTTGTAGGCGTGGTTCTCCTGTCTGAGACTTGGATCCAGGTATTACTGGCAAGAATGGAACTGTAAAATTTTGAGTGAAAAAGGCAGAGAGTGTTGAAAGGCATCATAGAAGATACCAGACCTATTTTAAACAGGAGGAACTGAGAAACATACTACTATCTGTGCTGATCACTTACCTATTGACTCTGAGCCCCAAACCCACAATTCTATGCTCTGTGATGCTGAGGTTAGAGCTTTGCCAAACACATATCCCAGACTCTTTTGACAGCTGGCTTCCTAGCGGGTTCTGTTAATTTCTATCTCTAGAGGGAGAATGGAAGGCAGGAGCCAGGGAGTAAAGGCTTCCATATTTCTCTTTGGTCTTGTCAGTGTTGCCTTGACTTTAGAAGTTCACTCTTGTCTTTGGCTTCTTCTAGCTTTGTCAGAACTAGCTCTATCTTACTCACTCAGATATATCACTGGTAGCCAGGTGTTTCCCCTTTCCCAGCACCATGGGGCTCCTTCTCTGAGATTTTGAGATTCTATCAGCCGTTGAGCAGTATGACCTATTCAGAGGACTGAGCCCCAGCTTAATGGGTGCCCCTCTTCTGAGCTTCTAGGTTTTGATAATCCCAACCTCTTCTCTTTTCTTCACCTAGTGCTAAGGGTTGTAGAGTCTTTCTTTGGTTATCATCTCTAGATTATCTTAGTTCTCTCTTTTGTTCTTTCATTTCTCTAACACCTGTGAAAACAATTTCTTGTATTAAACCCTCTCTGTTTAAATATCTGGTGTAATTTCTTTTCTTCCCTCTCTCCCTCCCTTCCTTCCTTTGCTGTGGAAGGAAGGAATAGTCCTGTTAAACAAACTATAAATGATGGAATTCTTGGATTGGTTTGGTTAAGACCTTGGCCCCGAATGTAGCGCTGAGCTCCTTTTGAAAGGAAAATGGGATGCAGTGGCATAATCATTAAATCAGCAACTATGGTCACTTGGGATAAAGTTCCTGTTAAAGTAAGTTCCTTGGGGTCAAAGTGACCACTACACTTGACTGTTTTGTAGTAATAATGACAAGAAGGACTGTGGCATGAGATGGCTTTTTCAGTCTGCACTGGAGGAATAATAAGAAAATGACAAGCTCTCAGCTGCTGATAGTTCACAATTCTCAGCCTAAGTCTCAGGGAACCAGAGGATTTCTATGATTGCCTTATAAAAGGCCATTGTATTTCTTATAGTTGTGGAACAAATATTATTGAAAGCCAAATCCCAAATTTAATTGTGTGGATTGCAGAATTACAATGTAAATTGAAATCACAGACTTGCCTAATTTCTTTTGTGAAAGTTAGGGACTTGATTGGGACCCTGAGATCTAGAATGAGGATATTGTGTGTGGACTCAGAGAAAGCTGAAATTTTTTTTTTTTTTTTTGGTGAAAGATTAGCCCTGAGCTAACTGTTGCCAATTCTCCTCTTTTTGCTGAGGAAGACTGGCCCTGAGCTAACATCCATGCCCATCTTCCTCTACTTTATACGTGGGATGCCTACCACAGGATGGCTTTTGCCAAGCAGTACCGTGTCCACACCCGGGATCTGAACTGGCGAAACCCCGGCCGCCGAGAAGCGGAACATGTGCACTTACCCGCTGCGCCACTGGGCTGGTCCCAAGAAAGCTGAAGTTTTTGAACCCCTCCCAAGTGTTTCTGAACCTTCCCTGCTAGCAGAATGAGCTCCTCCTTCCAAGTTTGAGATTCTCTCTCCTTTGCTTGAAAACTCTGTTTAATCTCACATAACCCTATTGTCTAGTGAGATACAACCCCATCAAGAACTGCTTTTCATTACCTCTGGACTTACAGCTAGAGTCTGATCCCATCATGTACAGGAGCAGAAGTGTAAACCTGACCTGTGAAGAGACAGCAGATACTCCAAGAGAAGCTCATGATCTAGTTAATTTATATCAGCTGAAACCTAGGGAGTACGGACTATGTGTGCGAATAAATTCTAAGTGTATTAGATCAAGGAGGACAGAATTTAATATGAGGTCAGGCTGAATTTATTGAAATGAGCACATTTACCAGAGATTTTGGGTTTAACGTATTAGCTTAACTGGCTGGAAGTGGCTCTGGTGTGCTTGATTGCTTGACTGAAACTTGGACTAAACAGTGGCTTATATTCTATGGGGCTGAGATGTCAGAGTTTCTTTAGCATGATATAGAGCAGGGGTCAACAAATTATGGTCCATAGATCAAATCTGCAAGGTAAGAATGGTTTTGACGCTTTAAAGCGTTATAGAAAGCGAAGGAGGGGGAAGAGATGGAGGAGGAGGAGGAGGAGGAGGAGGAAGAGGATGTGGAAGAGACAGAGACCACATGCGGCATGCAAAGCCTTTGCGCCATGTGGGCTTTTACAGAAAAAATTAAGGACAGCTGATACACAGAAAGGAATCAAAGGCTTAAGGTCGTAGGAATAATGAAACAGTTTCATCATGTGCAAACTCTCATCTTCACCACATCACCCAGGTGTGTTTACAGCCAAGGCACATGTGGGCTCAGGCCGAACATAACCGGGAGAAGTTGATTCCCCTCTCTCCTTGGTGTTTGCATTGAAGGGAGAATAATGATGTCCAAAGGCTCCTCCTTGTCTGTACCCCTGATCTCTGGTACCCCTTGGGAGACGGAGGGTGTGGGATGTTAAAAACCAGTAATGTTAAAAACCTTATTTAGATAAGGACTCATTAACTGCTGGATCTTTTCTTCCTTTAGTAGACGTGGCATCCTAGAGGGCTAAGAGAAGACTTAGACATTACTAGGACCCAGGCTTCTGAACACCGCGTTCAGGCTGGGGTAAAGTTTCCCAAGATAAAGTCATTGTGCACAGCTTAACACCTCTTTAATCAATACTGGGGTTGATAAAGTGATGGCTGATTAGGTGTTTGGTTTCCATGGTTACCACAAATTCTTTTTGGAAGAAATTCTGTTCCTTTTCCAGCTTACCTTTTCCAACTCACTTTTTAAAAGCAATGTTTGTAGTTCCTGCCACTCCAATGTCAATGAGAGAATTTATTTTATAATGTGTATGAACTGGCAGCTTCTCGGAAAAAAACCATTGTTGTCGGAATGAAGTCATCTATTTGGAGAGCAAAGCCTCAAGTATCATTCAAGAGGCGGGAACCCAGTGCCCTCCGCATGCTCAGCCCTTTGGCACACAGAGCCATTGTCAGAACCTGTTTCCAGAGCAACTGAATTCTCCCCTGAAATTACTTGGCAGCTCCCCTGCCGAAGGGTCTGGAGTAAGTCCTTTCAAGGGCCTTATTTTAAGGCAGCTTGTCTCTGATGAAAACCAAGCTCATTGCCAGCTAAGGAATTTAGCAATACCCTGAAGTGGGCTCACCTAATAAATTTTTATAATCTACAGGCCAAGGTGTGTGTTTGGGGGTTAGTGTCTCCATCATCTCAGAAATGTGTAGATGGTCAAATGATGTCCAGTCTTTTGGGTTATTTTCAGAATTCCATTGTATCTGGATTCATAATGCCAAGAAGATGGCTTTTGAGGGTATTCCTCATATGCCTTTACCCACATTGAGTGTGGAGTAAACGGCCATTCGGTATTACAGATTGTTTCCTGACTGTGGGGTCTGGCGAAAGAGAAGACTAGGCCCTCTTTAGACTTTTTAAGAAAGTCTTTTAAAAAACAACAATAAAAGCTTAATTTAAAAACGGATGTCCAGGCTGAATTGCTGGGTCAAAACTAACAAAAGTGGAATTTGATCTAAGTGTAAAAATCCCGTGATTAGGTTAAAAAATCAGTTTCCTAAATAACTACCAGGTGGGGAAGCTCTCTATTTTACAGTCACAGGGAATCTTTTTCTATTAAGGGAAACTGACTCATACCACTTCTTTTACCAAACCCCCAGAAAAGCCTCTCTTGGGCCATGTGCAAACAAAGGATAATTTAAATCTCATTTGAAAAAAAGATTAAACAGAATCCTTCATTGTTAAATGGTATCCATTAATTAAGAGGGAAAGAGTAAGAGCATTTTAACTGTACAGCTGAGCTAACAAAATTTGATATTTAGGCTATTAAAACCTAAAATCCAGGTCAATCATTGAAAATAAAATTGGACACATCCAGAAAGTAAAAACATAACTGAGAAAATGGAAGTGACTACACAGAGAAAGGGAGGAGGCGTTGGGGTCCCATGGACCATCTTCTGTGAGCTAAGTATGTTGCCTAAACTTAGGGCTCGTGATTAAACGCAGGTTGGTTTTGGCATTTGTGTGGAATGTAAGGGGGAAATGGGATCTATTAGGTCACAGGACCGTGGCTGCAGCCAGGCGAAAGTAAGATCCATCCGCAGGGCCGAGCGTGGCTCGTCCAGGACGGGTCTTTCAGGTGTGAAGGGGCCTCACAGTTTCAAAGCACCTTCATCTTCATTCTCTCGCTCCTCTGGTCTTACCCATGTGGTCACTGA